AAAAAAGGAGCATGTTTCTGTAAAAATGTTGAACTTTACCCCCTCCTTTTTCTTCGGGTTTTTGGGTTTTTTGTGAAAGGGTCAAAAGTTTCAAACCCTTGGGTCAAGGGGCTTTAAAAATATTTGGGGTTTTTAAAAAAAACTTTAACATAAAGGGGTTTTACCCCGGGACGCGGCCCCCAACCCCCGACGCCGACGCTCGGGGGGACTAAAATAGCTCTATTTATTCAAAATTTGTCGAGCAAAAGGGTTTTGCAACAAAAGCTATCCCACTGATTATATTTTCATATAAAAGATATCTAGACATTGTAAAAGTAAATGGATGTGTCACTTGTGATTTTTTATAAAATTTTTTTCTAAAAAAAGAGAATCTTATTTTCAGTAATGTTTCATGTATTAATAAAAAGCTTTTTTAAAAAGGGGAAATCTATATTAGTACAGTGTTTAAAACTTATCCATTGAAAATTGCAGGACAGTACTTTATAATTATTTAATATAGGTAACGCGGGCTCTGTTTGTCTTCAAACGTTACAAGACTTGTATCACGATATTTGATTGCGTGCAGTTGTCGACTGACAAAAATACCGTCATATGATTTAATTTAAAAAAATGAAATAAAAATAACAAACAAAATAAAAAAAAACAAAAACAAAAAACAAAAACATACACACATTAAATGCCTTACGGATTTAACATTATTTCATAAAAAATAGGAAAAAAGAAACAAAATTAAAAGTGTCCCTTTTATATCAATTCCTCTTTTGTGAAATACAAATGAAAATGTCACGTTTGAAAATAGATAAATAAAAGCCCAAAACGGCAAAATTGGGAATTTCCACGCCACGAGGCACCGGGCGTGTAGCAGAATTAAACAATTAAACATGCAAAAAGGTGAATTTTGGAGTAAAGAAACATAAGTAGATGTGTTCATTATGGCGGAACCTTAAATGCCAACACCGATAGTGCCATTCAATAAAAGCCGGCATTTGGTCCCCCAAGTAAAAAATACGAAAATGTTTTTTTAACATTGAAACAATGGGCGCGAGCTGAATAAAATGGAATTCTGAAAGAGGATTAGAGGTTATGAAGTCTGCATATTACAGATTAAAACGTCAAAATACAAATCTAAAAAGCAGGTTACCATATTCTACGGGTGATTATACAGTATTTAATTAGGGAAACTGGAACCACCTAACAAGAAAAAAAAAAGAAAAACAAATAGAGAAACTAAAAAAAAAAAATAATTCTTTACCACAACATGATGTCGTGCTGAACGATCTTTAAATCATAACATGAATATAACCATTTTAATTAAATGTATGGAGTTCCGTTTAAAGGGGAACTAAAATGAATTTGGAAAGGGAATCAGAGGTTTGAAGGCCGTTTTATCACAGATAAGAGTCAATAGACAAATTTAAACAAGAATATCGCAAAGGCGGGCAAATATACCCCCCCGAATATTAATCTGTTTGATTAAATAAAAAGGAAATCTTTTAATTATGGGTAGAGACCTTATAATTATCATTATGATTCTGTAAGACCATAGGTTGAGGCTTTTGTACTTTTGTACATCTTTTGTGCTTTTATGCTTATGTAGAAAGGTTTTTTAGAGGCCATGCCTTAAACCCAGGCTGGAAAATGAAAACCTAGGCAATGAGTTTGAGTTGAGTTCACTTTTATCAGAAGAAGGGGCTTGAAGTATATGAAGTCTGTACCCTGAGGAAGCGGGAGATTAACAGTGGTTCTTAAACGGTTACCAGCTGACCGAAAAAAGGATTGAGGATAAAAATGTAGAGCCAGGAAGCCAGAAGCAGGCAAGTCTATGCATCAACATTTTACCCGTTTGGAGCGAGACTTCTCAAGGTGGACAGACATGGTTATGGACTAACAGTCTTTATCAAGCATTGTGTCAGTTTAATGATAAGAGAGCAGTTTATCTAAGGTTGCTCATTAGACCTCGCACATGTTTTTTGAAGTGAGGGCGCCAAGACGATGACAGATCTAACTCAAATGGCATATGATGGAAGATTGGAATCATCGAAGCAAGACTCGAGTAGTGTTCCAAGGGGAACAGTGTGAGATTTTTCAAAGTGAAAAAATATTACCACGAGTAAGAAAGAATGTCTTTGATAGAGGAAGAAAAAACGTGTTTCAACTGTAAAAAAGCTTACATATGATCACAAAATACGAACTACGGTTATGGTCGACTTTGCGAGAGAACGACGAAGTCAGTCCGACGTTTATAGGTGGCTGTACCATAGAGAAGGGGGGGGGGTTAGAAACATCGACATAAGAAGAGGGTTTACTTGCCGACTTGAGATAAAAGTACTTATAAATACCGGTTGTGAGTCAGCTGAGTTTGTGAGACCAGAGCAAATCACAGAAAAGAAAGTACGAATGATAATTGTAGATGGGAAAATTGTGCCAATGGCAAATATAAATGTGGATACACCTTACTTCGTTGGTTTCAAACAATCTTATTTGTGACCTGATCATAGGAAACATTACTGGAGTAAAAGATGTTCCATGTCCGAGATGGAACAGTTAAGCGATCAGCCAAAAACTAAGTCGCCGAGGTAATCCTCAAAGCAGAGAGACAGACAGAAAGTTACCACTGAAATTAATCTTGACTTATTTAATGGGAAGATGTAATCTCCCTTTAAAAGAGGGTCTTTTGTCAAGATTAACTTTGTTTTCACCTTTCATATTTTTATCGTTTTATTGTATGTTTATGTCAGCAGTACGAATCTGTTCATTGTACGTATATAAGAGTTAGGACATGCTTTATTCACTTTTTTTCATGTTGATACGTCTATTCAAACTAAAGTTTTTGAATGTATAGAACTCTTTACACAATATACAAACACTATCATCGTGAATAATCGCATTAAAAATGAAATAACAGTCCTTCAATATCAATAACATCTACTGGTAATAATATTATGTCTTTACACTACTAACCTTTTGCGAATAAAAATTTTAATTTCCATAATAATAATACATTGTATATTTGACAATAAACAGTGTAGATGATCTACACAAGTCGGATTTAAAATGTCGTTTATCAACACGAAAACGCGAAGAGACGATGACAAAAACGTAAAAATAATCGACTTATATTTGTCGAGTTTTCGTGTTTTAGAAATCGTATCTTCGCGTTTTCGTCATCGTCCATTCGCGTTTTCGTATTTTCGCGTTTCCGTCCCTACAAGTTTTCGTCTTCGTTCCTTCGTGTTATCGTCATCGTACATTCGTGTTTTCGACTTTTCGCATTTGAAATTCCTTTATTTATAGGTGTGACCCTAATGGAACACCGTACTGCCTCGCGTTTTTACCACCGATTCACCCTTGAAATTAAAGCATTTAACCGGCGTTCTTTAGGTAAAGCGCATTTTTGAACTGTATTTTCCATCATAAGAATGAATTATTTTTGTAAACGACCTTTCTTCCCGAATGTCTACACCATTCGTCCACTCACGGAAAAAGTCAATATCAACATATAACTAGACAATAGACTGGTAAAACAAACAATTACAATTTTATGCCAATTCTGAGAAATTTGTTAGTGTGTCCTGATTGTAGAAGAAATACAGACCAGTCTTCAAACAGGGAGCAAGAACATGCTCAAGAGATTTATCGTCAAGTTCGAGACCGAATGTCGCCGGGGACAATAGGTCAAAGGACACGACCCATAAAACAAGTTAGATATACAATGTAAGGATATCATTCAATGTATAATTTTCTGCATCTGAAACTTATTAGTGCTAGGGGACGTGAGGGATGTTGCACTTATTCATTATCCCTCATGTACAGACTCAATCAAACCAAGTCTGCAATTCTAACGTAATTTTGTTGTGATTAATGCTTCCGAGGGATCACTTTCTTTCCAGATTTTTATTAAGTCACCAATAACTTCACATGACGTAAGCGAAAGCCATTAAATGAATGTGTACTTACATGTATATGGAATTCTGACACATATTCACTTATTTTCTAAAAACAATTAGTGTCATTGCCAGTCAATTATGCAAGATGCTCGTTGCAACATCCGCATTATTTAGTTTTCCGAGTGTTAACCTTATAACAATGAAGGTGTCAAAAATTCGGTAAGAATTAGTCTAAATCAGAATATAAATTGTTAAGGTTACGTTTCACAATTGTCCCAAAATGGAACAGGTTGTCACAGGGTTTCTTCAGAAAAAAAAAAGAAAGATTTTATCCCAGCAGCAAAAATATTGAGTTATGAGTTATGCATCAGCTTAAAGCACAAATCTCAGAGTCTTTTTGTTCTTTTCAATTTTCACCCTTTTGTCGCAAAATTTAATTATTTTCTGTTAATAAAGTACTTATATGTAATTTTATATAGATTTTTTCATTTTAGAAATCTACTTGTATAAAATCTACTCTATATAAAGTTATATATAAATATACATTTATATGTGTGTATAATTTATACTTATTCCCTTGTCTAGTATATACTAACTTTTAACTCCAAAGGATAAGAATTCTTTAAGATTTGTCTTTCATTCTCATCCTTTTATATTGTGTAAAAATATTTTGTTTGTTATTTATTTGTATGTACATTATATATACTTTCGGGAATAAATATGTTTAAACTAAAATACTTATTTCCGGATTTTTATCCTAAAACAAAAGAAAAATGGTGTATCTTTTTGGTGTATCTTTTCGAAAAGAAAAAGAAACAAAAAAAAAAACAACACCCCCCTCCCCCCCACACACACACGCGCGCGCGCGCACGCACGCACGCACATACACACACACACACACACACACACACACAAACAAAACAACAACAACAAAACAACAACAACAAACAAAAAAATAATGCCAAAACATAAAATCGGAGTACTAAGCGCTTTAAGCGATTTTTAAAATACAAAGCGTGTTATGAAAAAATGTCTAGTTAGAAGCTACATCAGTTATTGGATATTTACGTGAAGAAAAAAATTCTTTTCCTTTTCAATTAAAAAAAATATTACCTCTTTATAATACTTTTCGACTTCAATTTTTTCACATTTTTCCTCTGTGTATATATCACTTGCAACACATTCTTCTCTCATCTTGTCATCTTCCAGAACCGCTATTTGAGCTAATCCTTTCACATATCCTTCAATTTTTTCATCAATGACCGGTTTATATTTTTCTTTTTTGACTGAAAAATCAATTTTCGATAACTCTTTTGAAAATTCTTCGATAAGTTCCTCACCTCTTTGTAGACTTATGTAGACGAGAGCTTCCTTGCCAACTGTAGATGATTTTATCTGTTGTTTAAGGTTTTTCAGTTTGCCTTCAAAACGAACCAGTTTTTCTCTGACGTTTTCAGAATATTTTGTGTTCTTATCGTACTGCTCATTCATCTCTCCAAACGCTTTCTCCACAAGGGAATCAAACATTGCATTTACTCTACTGCGAAATGATTCCAGATCTTCGATATATTCCGTCTTTGAGGTTTGATTAGTTTCGGCCTTTCGTTTTATTTTACCAAAACTTGATTCGATAATTTGAAGTTGCTCTTCGATCTGTTTCATCATTTTTTCTTTGTCATCTTCTAAACATATTTTCATTGCTTCTTCTAGTATATAGTCCATGTTAGTGCATGCCCTAAAATGGTAACACTGTGTATCCAAGCATATATGTGAATTGCTTAAATCTAAAAACATTTTGAGTACTTAATGTGACATTATCTATATCCAAGTGTAAATGGTCAGTGACGCGAAAAACTAAAAAAAAAACTTAACATTTTGCCATAATTGTGTTTATTTTTATATTTTTCTATAAAAAATTGACCAATTGTATTTTCTATCAACATTTTTCGGAATATATCGGTAACGCTTAATTCTTTAATAGAGTGGATGAGTCTTTTTCATAATACATGTAGTTTTTAAATTAGCAATTATTGGTCAATTGTCATGTTTTTTTATTAACAGCGAATCGTTAGAAATATATTACTTATTCAACTTAACTTGACTGCGAAAACATGTGTATAATGTAACTTAAAGCTTACACAAGCTACTATCATACCGATTTTAATAATGGAAATATAAAGAATAAAGTTCAGACATATAGAATTACGAGAGACATGATAAGACATAGCATGCAATTTGAAAAGTACGGGTGGATCACAAAATTATGTTAATATTTTGTTAATTAGCACTTTAGCTAGTGTACAAAAAGACAAAAATTACACTGGATTAAAGATACGAGGGTTGTCCAAAAAATTCGTGCACTGCAGTTATTGTCGTGAGAGTTATTGGTAGAATAACATGAATTATATATCGCTTGAAGGGGAAATCTGTCTTAAATAAGAAAACAAAAGAAAAAAACGTGTAATCGGCATGTCGTGAAATCGAATCGTCATACAGTTACCTTGGTAACGTAATACCGGCGCACGACAAAAAAATGGGTTAGTTCATTACTTTGATGCATCACGGTATTATTTAAATACTACATATAAACGGTAAAATTCAGGGAAAAGAGTGTGTACGTATTCCAAACGTCACTAGAAAATATGATGTCATTTGCCCTATTGTAACGGGCGTAAACAAACATTTGTGTGTGGTCGCCAACACTGTAATTAGGTGAAAATGCCAGTCGCTAAACGTCTGGACGATCATTAAATTTTGTGCAAATATTGGTGAAACACCAATAGATACCTACAAAAAATTAAAAGGGCAAGCGGGACAAGTTCAGTGTCACAAAGGCTGGTTTTTAAATTCTGGTTTTTGAATTGCACAAACGCTCTGTAGAGGGGCGAGAGTCGGTAGACGATGACAACCGGTCAGGCAGCCGTCAGGCCGTAATGCCGGTTGGGTTGTCCAATATATTCGTGCACTGTTGGAATATGTTACATGGACGTTGCATAAGAACAATACAAACTACAAATTTCTTTACATCAATCATTCCTCTATTCACAGTAAAAAATTATAACATAAAAAGTAAATGCCACTTTACAAGCAACAAACAATTAATACAATTACAGTAATGAACTAACCCAATTCTTTTTCGTGCGCCGGTATTACGTTACTAAGGTAACTTAATGGCCATTCTTTATCACGACACGCGGCTTACTCGGCTTTTTCTTTTGTTTTCTTATTTGAGACAGATTTTCCCTTCAAGTGATACATAATTCATTTGTTTTTATTAATAATTCTCACGACAATAACTGCAGTGCACGAATTTTTTGGACAACCCTCGTATTACTATTATTCTTACAATAGCCTTATTTCTGCTTAAATATGAATGATTAAAAAAACTGAATAGCTCTAAATGTAAAATTACCTGTGCTTCAATGATATACAAACGTGACAACATAACATCTTGTGTTCTTTGCAGAAGAATTCAAGGTTTTTGCCATGTGTAGAACATTTATACTGATCTCTTGACCAAACGTCAATATCATCATGTTTCAAGACAATATGCTTGGCAAGGTAAGGTACTCGCGGGTGTAACTCGAAACATTCCTCGCAATAGTAAGCCTCACAATCCGTGCAGTAATATTCGGCTTTGGTCTTCTTATCTCTAGTTTTGCAGGGAGTACAGTGCTTCGTGTCGTCCATGTCTATGGTTTTGCGGTCTGAATAAGCCATATCTAAAGAAACAAGGGAGAAATGTTAGGATATGATGAGCCTGACTTGTCAAAACCTGTAAAATACATGTATTATTACACATTTATGTACAGGAAAACACTAACGTGAAAAACAAATAATAAGTCCAGAACCATCTGATTGATTTGTTACAAAATTGACGTATAACTGCAAGAAGTATTGATTTTGCTTTCACTTTTTATTTTTGAACCTGTTTTGCGCCTTGGAAGGAGAGTTTATTAGCGGCATGGAGACAATTTGTTTTCAGGCTTCAACAAAACCGCAAACAATTTTGAGACTTGAGAAGTAATTTGAGTAACTTTGATAGAGGTCCACTAAACATATTAAATATTTAACCTCAAGCCATTGTCATTTCTTGGGATAAGACATTCAAAATTTTACTTTATTTATATAAGGAAAACTTACGACCAAAGGGTCAAGGCAAATTTGTCCCCGGGGCTATAATTTAAACAATATTCTGATTGAACTTGGTGAACAACTACACAACGTTCATGCCAAATATCTATGCTTTACTCTTTGCCAATTCAGAGAAGAAGTTTTTTTAACCTCTTTACGATTAACATGTACATACGAGATGGGCCAATTTTAACCTTATAGATGATATAATATACATTGTACCAAATATCAAAGCTCTGGACCTTTACTTTCAGACAAGAAGACGTATTTAACTTGCAATTTTGTAAAACATCTTTCCTTGTCCTAGGACCTACTAATGAAACAGGCTGGAACCATTTGAACAACTTTGGAAGGGTCATTAATGTTAAGTTTGGTTAATATGTGCAGTCATTAATTTTAGAATCGATATTGTTTAAAGAAATTGTTGACGGCGCACGACGACGGACGGAATGGGTTCACATGTTGAGCACGCTGCGTTTTGGAAACCTTGATGTCATTGAACATGTACAAATTAAAAGTTTTAAATATGTTTTGAATGAAATTATACAAGATTTCATTTGTGGTAAAATGCTATGCCATCACATTATACAACATTAATTAGTAAAGACAGAAGTAGTTCATTTTTTTACAGTGAAACGTTGTGCTAATTAATGCAGTAGAATTTAGTAAATTTAAAGGTAGGCCTCTATGTCAAAAATATAACTCAACTATTATCAGCGATTTTTTTTCTTAAACTGTAAATGACCAAATTTCATAGCGATATATGAAGAAACAACAAAAAGGGTCATTAAGTCAAGATCTATATCAACTGATACCATAGTTCAGTTCTTTATCCGAAACCATGCTTATATGGTTGAAATTTCGTGGCTGTATGTCAAATAACAAACACATTTTTATTAAATGCATATAAGGAAAATTCACGTCAGGCAACCAACCTCACCAAAGGGCCCATGGAGATAATTTAATAAAACTGTCCACTAGACATGCTTCATGCTAAATATCTAAGCTCTTGCTTTTTATTGTTCAAGAATAAAAAGAAAAAAAAATATATGTAAATAGAGAACCCATGTTCATTTGCGTGAAGCCTATTTCAACCTAGCCTGGTTTTCAGTCTATCGATTTTTTATGTGCTTCTGTTCGGCAAATCGACACTATCAAAACCAGAGATGTTGCGTTATCTATGACGATTGAGTATGAAATAGCGCGTATGTTATAAATAAGCAAAAAATATCAATGCCTGAATCCCAGGCTAATTTCAACCATATTTTGGTTAAAATTTGAACAATATTTGCAGAGGTCCACTAGACATTGTTTCATGCTAAATATCCAAGCTCTAGCTCATGTGATTTAAAGCAAAAAATCTTTTTAAGTATTTTCTAAGTATATACATAAGGAAACCCATGTACCTGCACTGAGGCGGGTCCAATTTTGAAGGGCTATTATATTGTAAAACTTGATAATTGTCCATTTGAAAATATTTCAGCCATGGGCCAAATTTGACTCAGGGCTATCGCTTGAACAATTTTTGCAGAGATTCGTTAGACAAGTTTTCTTGCTTAGTATCTTAGACCTTACCTATGCATTTTTCAAAATGAAGAATTAAAAAATAACTATATGTTTACAAAGAAAACCTATAAAAATCGGAATGGCTGAGATATCTTTCCCCTTCTTTTGCGTCTGTCCAATATTCTGTCATGCATTAATAATTACTTATAGTTATATGATATACTGTACATTTAGCATTTTGATAACTTCTTGATTCAATGGGTGCTTGATTTTTCACTAACGTTCGATAAATATACAGTTCTAAACGGTTTGATCTTATCTTATAGAACTTAAATGCTATTTGAGCCTCATTGTACATTTTATTCATGCTTCTCACATTCTTGTGTCATATTTGTTCACAGAATAAGTGAAACAAATGATTTTCTTGATTTGACTTGACTTACGACATTCGTCGAAACATTTTTATGAATATTTTCAGATTATATAATCATTTTCATTTTTATGCTGAAATTTATTATTGACTGAATTATGCAAAGAAGGTAATTATTCTTGTTCATTTCCCACTCTCAATGTTATGCTGCCTCTAATTATCAAGTAATTATAACCCATTTAACTCAGACGTATTCATTATAAAACAGATATTGTTAAAAAAAAGAATAACGTTGTACTTGGTTAACATTTTTCATAAATGATTAAATGGAATTATCTGTATCTGCAGTTTTTTCTTCGAAGTAAGTTAAAACTAGAAAGGTTTTCAATCACAGAACATATATTTCCCTAAACTTAGTATGGTACTGATCACTCTTGACGTTTTGTCGAAATCCCGCAAGAAGTTTGGCCTGCGAAAGCCGGTCAAGATTTTTCTATTTTAAGCTCTAGCGGCACTTTTGTTCTGCAAAGCAGAACGTGCCCGCGATATGCACAACAAGGTATAGAACTGATCACTCCTGTAAAGTTTCATTGAAATCCCACAAGCAGTTTTACCTGTGAAGGCTTGACAAGATTTTCTCTATTTTTAGCTCTGACAGCCGGTCATTTTGTGAAGCTATATGCACAAGTTAGGCAGGTACTGATCACTTCTATGAAGTTTCCTTGGAATCTCGTCAGGAGCTTGACCTGTGAATGCAAGACAAGATATTCTGTTTATAGCCCTTGTGGCCATTTCGTGCAAAGCGGCTGACATTGACGGTAATGTGCACAATAAGGTATGATACTGATCAATCCTGTGAAGTTTAATTGAAATCCCGCCTGCAGTTTGACTTGTGGAAGCTGGAAAATATTTTTCTATTAATAGCTTTGGTGGCCATTTTACGCAACGAAGCGGAACATGCCGGCGATGAGCACGACTACGTATGGTACTGATCATTCCCTTTAAGTTACAATGAAATTCCGCTAGCAGTTTTACCTGTGAGGGTTGGCCAAGATTTTTCTATTTTAAAATCTGGTGGTCATTTTGTTCAGTGCAGTGCAACAGAAGCTGGCGACGATATGCACAGATTTTACGTATAGTACTGATGACTGCTGTGAAGATCATTGCAATCCCGCCAGCAGTTTGACTGTGAAAGCTGAACAGGATTTTCTCAATAATAGCTCCGGTGGCCATTTTGTGCAATGAAGCGGAATGTTCCCGGCGATGCGAACGACTAGTGATGGTACTAATCACTCAAGTTTCAACGAAATACCCCGGGGAGTTTGGATTGTGAAAGCCAGAAAAGATTTTTCTTTTTAAAGTTTTGGCGGCCTTTTTGTAAAAACAATCGGAATGTGCCAGCAATATGCACAGCTAGGGATGGTCACGGTGCATATCCATATCGGTACTCTCTTTGCGAAATCTGCTCAAACGGTACCCTCTTTGTACATGCACAGGTCATTATCTGCTAAAAACAAACCAATCCAGTAAAATTTCATTGTAATAAGGAAAGGAGGTATGACAAGTAGAAAAGATGTATACCACGGAACACTAGAATATTTTATTTATGTGCTGATTTGTCATGTGCCCGTTTTTCATGTACTGCAACTTCACAATAAGCTACAAAAATCGACATGTCTTGCCTCGCCCATCACCTCGAAATATTTTTCGGGCTGAAATGAACCTGTGGCTTGATTATATATGCATCATACATATTTAGTATGTTCATTTACATATCATCTTCGGACAAATGGCAGTATATTGTCAAAAATAAATGTAAAATTCATAAAAAACACCATAGTTTCGGTTTTGCAGCGGCACGGGCTACCTCTCTTCATTTAAATTTTTATATCACATGTACCCTCTCATTTTTAACACATAGGTACCCTCAAGCCACGACATATGCTTTTATTTGCGTTAATCGTTAAGTATGTAATATTTGCATAAAAGTAAGAAATATTACATACTAAACGGTTAACGCAAATAAAAGCATATATGTCGTGCCTTGAGGGTACCTATGTGTTAATAAATGAGAGGGTACCTGTGATATAAAAATTCAAATGAAGAGAGGTAGCCCGTGATATATAATCAACCCACAATGAAATTTTACTGGATTGTTATCCATCGCTGGTTTGTTTTAGCAGAGAATGACCTGTGCATATACAGAGAGGGTATCGTTTGAGCAGATTTCGCAAACAGGGTACCGATATGGTTATGCACCGTGGTACTGATAACTCCTGTAAAGTTTCATTGAAATCCCGCCAGCAGTTTGACATGTGAAAGCTAGACAAAATGTTTCTATTTTAGCTCTATTTTTAGCTCTGGTGCAAAATAGAAAGTGCCTGCAAGATAGGGTACTGATCACTTCTGAGATGTTTCATTGAAATCCTACCAGCAGTATGACATGTGAAAGCCGGACAAGATTTTTCTCTTTTTATCTCTGGCGGCCATTTTGCATAGAAGTAAAACGTGCCGGCAATATGCATAACTAGTGTTGATATAAATGATTATTCCTGTGAAGTTTTGTTGAAATCCTAATAGAAATTTGACATTTCTGTTAATGCTGTGAAAATGTTTAAATTTGCATGTTCCAAATAAAAGTTAAATACACAAAAATATCTTGTTCAAGCACATTTTGGTTGCAAACGTGTACTTCAAGCATTTCTGGTTGCAAAATAATTCTTATTATCTTTTTATCCAATGTAAAACTGCAAAAGAATTCAAGAAAGATTATATTTACTAGACACATAATTCTTTGACATTTTTTTTGCAATCGTGTTATTTCACTTGATAATAAAAATATGTTTTCAAACGGTTTTTACAGTTTTAGGGATTTCTTTGTTTAGTTGTCAATTGCTATTAGATGTGTATAGTACACATATTTATAACGTAAAACAATGAATAGATAATGTTTATATACATGTATTTTTGATATATATCTTTGTTTTGCAGTGTTCAATCCCTTCCACAGGACCCATGCATGTCCATCACTTATATAGAATATTGTATTAAAGGACCGACTTATTGCTCTACCGGACAGAAACAGTAAAATGTATCAAAATCTGGATACAAAGTAACAAAACGAGATACTGAGTCGTGGCAACGGGTTAAATAAGTCATGGGAACGAGATACTATGTCGTGGCCACGAGTTACTAAGTCGTTGGCACGAGATAATTAAGTCGTTTGAACAAGATACTATGTTGTGGCCACGAGATACATACTATGATGTGGCCACGAGATATATACTATGTTGTGGCCACGAGATACATACTATGTTGTGGCCACGAAATATATACTATGTTGTGGCCACGAGATATATACTATGTTGTGGCCACGAGATATATTATATGTCGTGGCCACGAGATACATACTATGTTGTGGCGACGAGATATATACTATGTTGTGGCCACGAGATACATACTATGTCGTGGCCACGACATAAATACTATGTCGCGGCCATGAGATATATACTATGTTGTTGCCACGAGATACATACTATGTATCTAAATAGTTAAGTCGTAGGAACGAGATACTAAGTATTCCTGTTCGTTTTATGTAAAACAAGAAACTTTGTATCATTGACACATATATTCAAAGTGGTTCAAATTTTTAAAAAAGAAAAAAATAACTCTCGTAAAATACTGTGCCATTTACATGTACACATTAATTCTCATGTAATCTTTATTTTTGATAACAAACACTGAAAAGGCATATCTTTAAAAGTTAAATTTCAACTTTTCACATTTAAAATTGACTATTAATTGCAAATGTGTTTAATGACACTTACAATAAAACATTAATTACAAAATAATTGCATCATTGTTATACATACTGTGATACTGGTCCAAGATCAGATATTTTAAAGCATATCCTAACAGTCAGTCCGCAAAATCACAATAGAAAGTAAATGCACTGTAATTTCAGATTTTTTAGAGTGTGTAAATCTTACCCGTTTAAAACTTCCGTGTTAATAACATAACATGTTATCAGATAACGTACTAAGCTATTTTATATTTTAGGCCTACATAATTGTTTTGTTAGGGTAACATGCTCTCCGGGGATATAGGTAGAGTAGGTCGGATTGTTTATATATTCATTTCTCCTTGACAGTCATCAATGGGCCGTTGTCGGATTTTGATAATGAAACCTCTGATCTCAATACAGGATTGGAGCAGTACCTCTAGACGCTTGCAGAAATCATGATCACAAAATAGACAAATATCGTTTTTTTCGCCGATTTTTACATTTTTCATTCATAAATCGATGTGAAAAGATGAATTAGACCTATTAAAGTTCATTCCGTTGGGTAAAAAGGCAAGATTTTAGCATTTTATGATTCAAGCGCCTTGCCCGGTATATACCGGAATACGGTATTTAGTGTTGTGCTCCAATCCTTTTTGCGACGGACGCGCCCTCAGGCGCGTTCAGAGCTAAGTCATCTACACATGGGATTTCGTCTGCTACAATCGCGCAGTGTCCTCAACCGAGTAACAGCCCATGAAATAGTACATGAATTTGATCCTTTAAAACTCACATTCTTTGTCGGGATATCTTAAAATCTTCCATATTTAGCCTTTTCAATTTCAAATTAAGTTATCCAAGTTAAAATATGAACGTATTTGATTGATAAAAACGTTGTAGTCCCGTAGTATTATTGCGCAATATGCAAATTACTGCCGAAACGATTTACAGCTGTCGAAAAAGTAGGACAGCAAATTATACTATAATAAAGGTGTAAGCTCTGAGTTCCAAAAAATTATTAGTAGGACATAAATATTTCTACATTATACAAAACATAATTATTAACAAATCAAAGTTTTTCGTGACTCTAGAATAACTCGCGCATTAATAAAAGAAGAACTATTTTCGTGACTCATACCGCGGGTTTAGCTGAATATTCAGCAGTTATTAATAAATTAGATATAGTATAATGGTTAGTATAAATATCTATTTTTGAAAATGCATGTAACAAGAGAGTTTTTTCAACACTTTACTACCATGTAGTCTTTCATGGTAATCTTTATTGAAGGAAGTTATAATATCAGTTCTACTTCCGATTCTTGTGGTTTGTTTACATATTTTTCTAGGTCACGATATAACATTCGCTATTCTAAAAATAGATTATGCTTCACCTGCAGGCGATAAGGGTGTACACATTATACATGTAATAAACCAGCGGATACTTACTTTGCTTACATGCAATACTTACAATTGTAAGAAAATGGAATTTAGTGTGAAATTGAAAAGAACAGCTTAAGTGACATTTAAATTAAAATAAAAACGATGTGCTCTGGCCTCTACATCTTTACCTTGTAAATAAAAAAAATCTAAAAAATACACTTTTAATTGCTGATGATTTTAACCAAAAATATTTTTAATGAGACATATCCAAGAGAAATAAAAATACAAATGACTTCTATTTTATTGTCTATATGCCCACTATGATATAACACGAAGCAATTCTAAATAACATTCTCACATGTATAATGTATTATGCTTGAAGTTAATTTGCATGGTTTTATTTTAGAAATATTTCGTTGACAGTTTTTTTCTATTTACATATCATTCCTTGGAATAAATCGATAAGGACACTGATTTACAAGTTTGACCAGAGTTTTTAGGCATAAATTTCATTCTGTATAAGTAAAAAATCTGAATTACATCAGATTGGGACACATAAAATATATTGCTTTACAAATCTCGAACTTGTATGGAACAAATTTTCTCTGTTATATCTTTTGTGTTTTTTTTTTTTCTAAAAAAAAAAAACCTTAATGTCTCTCCGGTTGCATGTCCGTCGCATTCAGTGCTGCAGCACTTTGATTTTAGTCTCACTCCTGATAATGTCCCCGGATGGCACAAAATCATCATTTCTAACTCTTTAAATGACACCTTAGATGTTACAATTCTGAGTTCCTGTAATTCGGCAGATTGAAGGCGATCACACGATGTTTTATAAACATCGATTACCTGAGCCGCCATTTTCTATTACTGAGCGTCTATAAAACACTTCCGTACACATTTTGTTCTTGATGTAATTATTTGAAGACAAAATATTCATATGGTATTTATTTGACATGACCATTTCAATTTTGGTCAATATCTAACAAATGTCTTTTAAAATAGATTAAAAACGCTTTGTGTACGGTCTTGAGCATGTACTTGACTGGAAGTGACCATATACAGTATTACTGTACGGCGAATTCGCGATTATATTCGGCTAAATTCTTCAAAGTTTTGGCTGACTACATCGATTTTATGATAAACAATATAAAATGAAATTGTTTTTATTTGAATTGTAATTGTTTCTTCATATTTTGTGTGTGAAATATAAGCTATTTTTGACATTAAATAAAAATAGTAGGGCCGGGTATACTTTTATGTTGGGTCGGGTGACCAGAATAAAACATTTTTAGGCCTAAGTAGTGAAATTATTTATCGATAAGACTTGACATGAAGCTGATAAAACTACAATAAACTAAATAATGTAAATCACCAATTTTAAGTTTAAGTTATAGTTTGTGAAAGAAATGTTAAAAGACATTTACACCAGTAAGAGACATAACGAATTGGCTTCCTTAAAAAGAAAACATGCGATAGGTCTTTTTGCAGCTGGGGTAAATTTACTTAATTCTTTAAACGGGCGTATAATAAAATAAGATTTAAAAAAAGAGGACGGGATATACACGTTTAATAAAATATCGGTTCCGGCTTTTTACATATAACATTTGAATGAAAATATACAATAAGTTTGAATTTATGTACGCTGTCAGATGAGTAAATTTAATAAGGGCATACTTAAAATGAAATTAATGTATTTGACTTAATCATAATGATATGGAATGATGACATGATATTGGCATGGTATACTCTAAGAGTACCCTTAAAGTTACATTAAATAAATATTTAAAAATATTTTGTTTCGGCCTAACAAACAAGCATTCTACAGGTTCATTAACCTTTTTAACAGTATTGTAGTAAATCTCATCAAATAGTGTTCATAAATTAGGATTTTAAAGGGAAAAAAACCCCACGGTAACACTTAAGTTCGTATACAAATTTTAACATGCAAATGAAGGCTATAGATCAGCTCGTGTATGCGCTACGTCACATTGTTATAGTTGCTATCCGGAACACAGTAAATATGAGATTTTCTTGTGCAAACACAATTCAACCGTTTTAGCTTCACGGTGCACTAGGCCTGGGGTTCAGATAAAAAGTAATCATCTCATAAAAAGGATTAAATTTGTATGAAAACATCCGTTACAATGCGGAAATATACCGTTAGATTAGGACTGATGCATATAGTCATGTTTGTTGGTTTAATATTGATGTACGGATGATATGAAAAGGAGTTTCTCATTCAAACAGAAATTGCAATGTACTTCCGATTTCGCCACAATGAGGTTGCCCATTTTTAATGCTTATAAAACTTATTTTGGTTGTCTTGACACCAAAATAAAATCTGGAGTCGATATCAAACCAAATTTATTAATAAAATGTCGAAAATTCTGTTTTTATGAAATTTATTAAATGTAGCTTTAAGTCAATAGAACAATTGTAAATCAGATCTGTTCTATAAAGATCGTAACTAAAATATATAATTCATATATATTATTATATTACTATGTATTACAAGTCATGCAGGATGCAAATTTATAAGTCCAAAATATCATTTCACCATTGATAAATATTTTTAACTGAAGTAATCGATCTGTCAAATTTGACAGCAGATGAAACATGAAAAAATCTAGTTTTGCACATTATAGCTTTGTAAAATTAATTCAAAAATCATAAAAATATACAACTAGAACTCCGCGAGTCGGATGTGTCGCCTTGTGAACAATATAGTTAAGGAGAAATGGCCATGACAAAATGAAATTTGTGCACTGCACTACTTCTTAATAAGATCTATCATCCTATGAAGTTTCAAGTCCATAGATTTTATAATTTAGGAGAAATGGCCCGGACAAAATAAAGTATGAAAATTAACAAAGGGCAACAACTCAAAAAAGTAAGAAGTGCAGAGTACCGGTTCTTGTGCACTGCACTTTGGGTCATTATAAGAAGCATGCATACCAAATATGAAGTCAATCCAACTTATAATGACTGATTTATGCTCCGAACAAGCTTAAGGGGACGCCGACGCTGACAACGACTCCGACACCGCCAACAAAAGTAACCCCTATATGTCGCATTTTTCAAGGCAACACAAAAATACCTGAAAATCATTTTCCTTGACATGGTGTCTAAATTCCGCCAACAGCACAATGTAAAATTTATGATTTATCAGAAACAGCCAACATAAACTGTGAACAATTTTACGGACTTCTGACCGATGTTTGAAAAACTTGTTTAAAAAAGTTTTACGAACTGTCATGGCATCTGTTGTAAACAAGTCTGCTTGATCCCTTAGAAAATAAAGAAGTTACAGTAAAAATAATATTTTTAAAGAAAAATTCTAAGTTCAAGGGGAGAAAAATCTGAAAATATTGATGCTAGAGTTATGTACAATGTCACATAAGATGTGGTTGATGATAAGGAACATATATTTGAAGTTGATACCTTCAGAAACTAGAACTATCACTAAATGTGATTAATACCCCAACAAGACTGATTCGGAAATGAGGATGTTACTAGTAACAGAACACCTTGTAAAAGAATTGAAATATAGAGTTATGGTTGTGGCAATTAAAGATAGTTGTGGTTCTTGTATGTTGCACTTCCTTTCAATGTGGTTGGCCATTGATGAAGTTTAAATACTCTGTAATAAGTCCAGAAAGACAAAGAAAAGGAACAAAGGGCAATAACTCTATAAATACTGAAGATAGAGTTATAGTTCTTGTGCACTGCACTTCCTCTTATTGTGCTTGACCATTGTATGAAGTTGTTTTGAATTCCAACCAGTATGTTTTAAGTTATGCTCCGGACAAGGAAAAGTATCAAAGGGCAGTAACTCTGTATTTT